GGGCCTTGGCATCCCACCTCTAGGCTGCTGACATCTGACACCTAAGAGAAAACCTCAGAGCAAAGCCTGCATCCTGGCCAGATGTCTCCTGACTCTGATGACAGGCCTAGGATTGAAAGTATATAGAATTGCTTGATGTTTTTATTGGGTTTTTTTCTGTTATCACTGTGTATCAATAACTTTGCCTATTATCAAATGATCAGTCTGAGAGTAGGTCCCCACACCGAACATGGCCTCTGGGTTCTAAATCCAAAACCAGCAACCACCTGTTGCTGACCCTGTCAGGACTTTGACCTCTGCCTCTGCCTTGTGACTTGGACTTGGGTGATTTGGAACTCAGCAATCCCAATTCTTATGACTTGCTCCCCGACCTTGCCATGCCTGTCATCTCAGCTTTCATTTGGACTCTGACCATCTGGCTTCAACCTGGCTATCGGCTGATGTTAGCCACTAGGCAGACTGCTTATGTCTTGGTGCATGACAGCATCCTTTACAGAAACCATGCTGATATTTTTCCCCCTTGTATATCATATTTATCCATGTAACTGTTAATCTTATTTTTATTATAGATTCTACCAACTTGCCAGGGATAGAAGCGAGACTTACCAGTCTGTAGTTCTCAGGATCACCTCCAGACCACTTGTTGAAGATGGGCATTATGTTAGCAATCTGGTACAGAGCCTGTTTGTAATGATAGGTTATGTATAGGGAGATACCTAAGATGTTCACGGTGTAGCAGTGGCTTTAATCTCTCTCTTTTTGCCACTGACCCCTTCACCACTGACTACCCGAGAGGCAGTTAATGCCCAGTTTTTCCCTTTGGGAAAAGGGGGGAGGAGGAGAGGGGAAGGAGCATGTTGAAAAGTGAGAGATTAAAGGTGCCACTGCACCATGAACTTCTGCTGCGATTTAGGTAGGTGCCTAGTTATTTACTATTGTCCACAGTGCTGCAGTGTTACACTGGAGTTCCTTCAGAACTGCCAAGATTTTGGACGTGGAACCTCAGTCAATTCTCAGGTGAACTCCAAATTGAGTTCCTCCCCCTGGTTTGTTGGTCTGTAGTATATACCTACTATTAGGTCTCTCTTGCTGTCCCTCTTCCCCCCGCAACTTAATCCAGAGGGTTTCAAGCTGTTCATTTTTGGAGCTGATGTCAGCCTCCAAGGAGGTGTACTGCTTTTCCACATAGAGAGCAATGCCACCACCTTTCTTCCCCACCCAGTCCCTTCTATGCAGGGGGTAGCCCTCTATAGCTATGCTCCAGTCATGTGAGGAGTCCAACCAGGTGTCCGTAATCCCTACTAGATCATAATGCCCACTGGAGAGGGTGGAGGGCTAACTCCTGCTTGTTCCCCATGCTCCTGGTGTTAGTATATATAGGAACCTGAGTCCTCCTACTGAGGCCCTCGTCTTCCTGTCCTGCTGATGAACTATTCCCTCAGCTCCCACAAGAGTGGCTCTCCCAGTGTCTCTATCTACAGGGCTTACTTGTATGTTGGTCCCTGGACATGTTTGAATTTGTGTATCCCCGTCCCCCAGCAATATTATATGTGGTAGGCCAAAAGGTATGGTTATCAGGACACAGTCCTAAACCCCTGGTCTAGAGGCTCAAAGCACCAGCTCAGCACTCCACCAGGCAATAATACATGGATGAAGGTGGAATAGAAGGGAAAGGGGTGAAAAGGCCTCCTACTCCTGGCCCAGATGGGCTCCAGGGCTCCCAGTTGTTGATTGGATCCTCCTGCCTATAGAAGCCTTCCTATTTTCTGTGAAAACTGTTTGAACAACAAGGCTTTCACTGGTTTTGGACAGCCCTGTTGTCTCCTTGCTTCTGTATCCTGATTCTGGATCTGACCACTGATGGCTTAAGAATGGTATTTAAAGGTTTGCTTTTTGGGAATTGGCTTATAGATGTAGATATAGATATATGCATTAGAATGGTTCAGGATGGGCAGCAGGGGTTAATTGATTTCTCAAAAGCCTGGGTCTCAATATAGAGTTTTTCAGCCTTCAATATAGAGTTTTTCAGACAGGCTGTCTAACACAACAAGGCCAATGGATATACACACAGCCTAGGAAACTGGGGGCATGTACCACACTGTTCCATAACATGAGATAGGGTGGTACCAGCTAACAAGGCCTGGGCGGGGGGGGCTTGAGTCCTGGTTTTGGGGGAACAGGAGAAGACCCTGAAAAGACTAATTTAGTATGTGTGCATGTGATGAGCTATATGGACAGTGTGACAAACACAGAGAGACCAACCAGCCATAGCCATGGATCAGAAGTCATCAAGAGGAAAGAATACAAAAGCAGAGACTTGAGGGTAACAAAGGGTCCCTTCTTTCCTGTCCTGCCTGAGTCATCCTTCTCCCCGAGAGGGGTCACAGGACTCCAGGAGAGGTCCCTGAGGCCACCATGGACAGAGGGCATGCCATGAGATCATTTCATCCACTCCACTGGAGGGGGGTATGGGCCTTGGCATCCCACCTCTAGGCTGCTGACATCTGACACCTAAGAGAAAACCTCAGAGCAAAGCCTGCATCCTGGCCAGATGTCTCCTGACTCTGATGACAGGCCTAGGATTGAAAGTATATAGAATTGCTTGATGTTTTTATTGGGTTTTTTTCTGTTATCACTGTGTATCAATAACTTTGCCTATTATCAAATGATCAGTCTGAGAGTAGGTCCCCACACCGAACATGGCCTCTGGGTTCTAAATCCAAAACCAGCAACCACCTGTTGCTGACCCTGTCAGGACTTTGACCTCTGCCTCTGCCTTGTGACTTGGACTTGGGTGATTTGGAACTCAGCAATCCCAATTCTTATGACTTGCTCCCCGACCTTGCCATGCCTGTCATCTCAGCTTTCATTTGGACTCTGACCATCTGGCTTCAACCTGGCTATCGGCTGATGTTAGCCACTAGGCAGACTGCTTATGTCTTGGTGCATGACAGCATCCTTTACAGAAACCATGCTGATATTTTTCCCCCTTGTATATCATATTTATCCATGTAACTGTTAATCTTATTTTTATTATAGATTCTACCAACTTGCCAGGGATAGAAGCGAGACTTACCAGTCTGTAGTTCTCAGGATCACCTCCAGACCACTTGTTGAAGATGGGCATTATGTTAGCAATCTGGTACAGAGCCTGTTTGTAATGATAGGTTATGTATAGGGAGATACCTAAGATGTTCACGGTGTAGCAGTGGCTTTAATCTCTCTCTTTTTGCCACTGACCCCTTCACCACTGACTACCCGAGAGGCAGTTAATGCCCAGTTTTTCCCTTTGGGAAAAGGGGGGAGGAGGAGAGGGGAAGGAGCATGTTGAAAAGTGAGAGATTAAAGGTGCCACTGCACCATGAACTTCTGCTGCGATTTAGGTAGGTGCCTAGTTATTTACTATTGTCCACAGTGCTGCAGTGTTACACTGGAGTTCCTTCAGAACTGCCAAGATTTTGGAGCATGTCTTCCCTGCCAGAATTCTCCTTGTGCCATAGCTCTAGCACATTTGCTTAGCTCCCATCGCCCTGCTCAGCCCTGTCCCATGCTATACTTCTTGCTGACCTCCATTACTTCTGCATCCCTAACAGCCTGCACACCTACCCCACAGTTCTTGCCTCCAAATGTCACCACCTCCTTGCTGCCCCCTTATTCAAACTACCCCATCCCCAAAACTGTTGTCAGCCTCCTCTATTCATTTCCATGCTTATTGTATATTACTCCAGACCACACTCGGAAACTCTGGGATTTCCAAAGCTGTTCTCTGCATCATTGATTTAGCTGAATCTAAGCATATATTATATGTGATGTTTGATACTAGGGATGAGATAGGTTAGACTTTAAAATTTTTAAACAATAAGAATATTTATAATGGTAAAGCATTACCATTTAATGTTTAGCATGGGACACAGTCCAGTGGGGAAGGAAAGGGGTGTAGTGCTTTAGGAGCAAGCAGATGGCAGGGCAGGCCAGAGGCAGGAGTGAGGAGGAGGGGAGGGGAAAGGTCAAGGGGAAACTAGTACCCATAGCCTATGAGGTTAAAGAAGAAAAGATAGGGTGGCCTAATGATTTGTCAATTAAGCAATTAGCTGCTCATTCACAGGTGCTGAGAAGCCAGCTGAATGGAGGTAACAGGCTACTTAAAATGTAAACCGGTCCCCAATCCAAATTGCATGCTTACTCCCTCCCAGCATGCTAGTAGCTGCAGCTGGCTGGGAAAGCCCCTTCTCACTGTTTCCACCCCTGGTTCATGTGTGTTGTCTGGAAGAACTTGCTGCTGCCTCCAACCCTTCCTGTCAAAGGCCCTGGGGAGTGGCTCCCAGCCGCAGTGGGGTCCAAGAGGGTCTGTGTGCAGCCCCTGGCTCCCCACGCTGCTCCAGGCAGGTGGCTGCAGCCCATACAGGGGCAGGGCAGGGTGGGGCAGGCACCAGCTTGGGGCTCTGCACCCCCTGGCCAGGACTAGGTATGTGTTATCAGTTAACTGTTTAACCAATATAATTTGAGGGGGTTAAACAGATTTTTTTTAATGGTATTTACATCCCTAGTTGATAGGTAGCTTCCATTGACTGTCTTGGTGGATCAGGCACCTACTCTGGACTCATTCAAGAAACATTTGGATGCTCATCTTGCTGGGATCCTTTGACCCTAGCTGACTTCCTGCCCCTGAGGCAGCAGGCTGGACTTGATGATCTTCAAGGTCCCTTCCAGCCCTAATATCTATGAAATCTATGAAATACTGATGGTTTTGGACACTTCTAATATTTCTGCTTGCAATACTTGTTTGTATGTACTAAAGAGGAATGTTGGGATCATACATATTATAGCTGAGTAAAGTTTGAAATTAAATGTAATAATCTTTTTCAACCAAACCGGCAAAGATGACAATTCTGAATAGCATGGTATAGGATCATCCAGATTTTCTTGGAAATCATCAGTGGGGGTAATACTGAAAACAATTCTCCTTCGGTTTTAACAAAGATTTTTGTTTGCTCCTATAGTTGAAGTAAAAATTGAAGTTGTGCTACCTGAGAAAGAGAGGAACAAGGAAGAAATCTCACCCAATGGGAAAGCCAGCCCGCTTACTTACAAAGTAAATGGAACTGTCTGTCATTACCATCTTGAAGAACATCCCATCTCTATCAACCCCTATCAGAATCTAAAGGATGTGGTAGAAGCCTCTGTGTGCCATGTGAAGGACCTGGAGAATGGGCAGTAAGTATTATAATCCTTACAGTTACTATCATCAACTGATTGTCATCAACTGAAATGCTTTCACCTTGGAGCTGGCCAGTCCACACAAGTCTGTGAAATCTAGTGTACGTGACTCCAGTTCGGCAAAGCACTTGAGCATGTTCTTCACTAAAATGTTGAGTTTAGGCTTATACTGAATGGAGGCAAACCTTTGCTTAGTTGAATGCATATTTAAATATTTTGCTAAATTAGGGCCTTTATTGCTACCCCTCCCCCCCCCTTTTTTTACCACTTAGGAACCCCACTCCTTTTTTTAACATGAGCACTTTTGTCTTAACTTAGCCAAGAGGATCTTCTTTCTGCAGTCAGTATAATTTGAATTTAGTAAAATAGGATGTGGTGTAGCCAAGGCCAAGTTGGTCATTTTTTTTTTATGAGAAGATCATGGGACACCAGATCAAAGGCTTTTTTAAAGTTCAGATATATGATGTCACCTGGTCATAGAAGGAGATGAGATTGGTCAGGCAAGACCTGCCCGCAACAAACCCGTGCTGGCTGTCCCTCAGGATGTTGCCATCATCCAGCTTGTCAAGAATGGTTTCTTTGATTTTTTCCAGAATCTTTCCAGGTATCAAGGTCAAGCTGATTGGCCTGTAGTTCCCTAGATCTGCTTTCCTCCCTTTCTTGAAGATGGGTACCACATTCTTCCAATCTTCAGGTACTCCTCCTGAGCGCCACAAGTTTTCGAATATCTTTGCCAGTGGCTGGGCTATGATGCCTGCCAGCCTCTTAAGTACTCTGGGATGCAATCTGTCAGGACCAGCGGACTAGAAGGTGTCCAGCCTCTCAAAGTGTTCCTTTACAAGGTCTACACCAATGCTGGGTATAAATTCACCCACACCCTGGCCATCCTGCATCATGCTTTGCAGGGCGGTCCCTTTGGGTTGATGAAAAACTGACGCGAAGTACCCATTAAGCAGGTTGGCTTTGTCTTGGGTGTCAGTTGACAGTTGTCCCATTTGGTTTAGCAGGGGTCCAATGTTACCCTTGCTTTTCTTTTGATTCCCCACATGTCTGAAAAAGGACTTTTGATTTTCCTTGATATGTGTAGCCACCTGGAGTTCAGGTGCAGCCTTGGCTTTCCTGGTTTGCTCCCTACAGGTACGGACCAGTGCAGAATAATCCTGCTTTGTGGTAATTCCTGTCTTCCATCCTTTATAAGCCTCTCATTTTAGGCATATGAGGTCCATGAGTTCCCTGCTGTGCTTTCAGGATCGCTCCCTTAAGGAGCAACCACTGCTTTTGGACTCCCCTCCCTGTCGGGTCATGGCCCCTTTAGGCTTCGATAACAAGCCTTTTGAGCTTATCAAAGTCAGCTTTCCTTAAGTCAAGGACTTCTGCATTGCTGACTGACTTGCCAGCTTTGCGATCGATGGTAAAAATGATCAGCTTGTGGTCACTGTCTCCCAGCTTTCCTTCAATTCTTAGGTCACTGACTAGATCATCCCCTTTAGCCAATACCAGGTCCAGCAGAGCTTTACTTCGTCTTGTTAGTCCATAAATTTCTTGAGTCAGGTAGAGCTTATCCATGCATGTGAGGAAGCTTTGTGACCGTTTGGATTTGGCTTTTCCCATGAGATGTCCGGGTATTTGAAGTCTCCCATGACAACCATGCACTGAGAGCGTGCAGCCTCAGCCAGTTCCCTGGAGAATTCCTGGTCAAGCTCTTGTTCCTGGTTAGGAGGTCTGTAGTAGACTCTTACCACTGTGTCCCCTGTAACACGTTCCCCATGTATTTTAACTCAGAGGGTTTCCAGTTGTCCTCCCTGGGTGCCACTGTCAGCTTGCAGGTGTACACACCTTGACATAGAAAGCTACACCCCCACCCCTTTTTCCCCACACGATCTCTCCTGTGCAGGGTATAGCCGTCTATACCTGTGGCCCAGTCATATGTGGAGTCCCATTATCCCTATGAGATTATAGTCATTTTTGTTTAGGAGGAGGACTAGTTCCTCCTGTTTTTTCCCCAAGTTCTTGGCATTGGTTTACAGATATGTAAGCGTCCCATTGGAAGCCCTAGGCTTCCTTGCACTCCCAGGAGGACACCGTTCCAGGGGTTGGGTAGGAGTGGATTCCCTTCAGAGCCCTAACCTGTTGGTTTTGTAGTAGTTGCCTAGTAGGCTTGCTTTGGTGGTTGTCCACCCATCCCCCAGTGGGCTTAGTTTAAAGCCTGGTCGAGCAGGTCAGCCATTCTGGCTGAGAAGAGCTTCCTTCCCAATGAAGTTAGGTGGAGGCTCTCTTCCCAGCAGACCACTGCCTCTCTCACCAGAGAGTGGACTGTGATCATGGAAGCCAAAGCCTTCACAATGACACCAGCACCACAGCCTCAGTTGACTACCTCAATCTGTCTCTCCTTCCTCAGCCCATGATCCGCAACTGGGAGGATTGAGGAAAAAAACACCTGTGCCCCCAACCCTCCAAGCCCTGCTCCCAGAGCCCTGTAGCCACTCATGACCTGGCTGGGATTGCTCCGAGCCATGTCACTCGTGCCCGCATGGATAAGGAGCATAGGGCGGTGGTCGGAGGACTGGGTAAGCTTTGGGATCCTTTCCACTACGTCCCAGATATGGGCCCCGGGAGGCAGCAGACCATCAGGGTGGCAGATTGCTCCCTCAGTCCCCCTCAGGAGGGGGTTTCTCACAATGACCACTCTGCGTTTTGCCTTAGGGAGAGTAGGGATGGTAGCTGTTGGTGAATCTCCCTTGCCTGCAGGAGCTGGCAGCTCTGCAGGCTCTACTGGGGCTGCAAGAGGTTCATACCTGTTGCAGAGCTCCAGAGGGGAGGGGACTTTGGGGTCATTGACCACCTTGGTCCAACCCCCTGGCTGGACAGTGTGGGAAATCCTCAAGTCCTCCCTTGTCCTGCAAGGTGACCTTGGTCAACTGTCAGCAGCTGGCAGCTTTGCAGGCTCTACTGGGGCTGCAAGAGGTTCATACCTGTTGCAGAGCTCCAGAGGGGAGGGGACTTTGGGGTCATTGACCACCTTGGTCCAACCCCCTGGCTGGACAGTGTGGGAAATCCTCAAGTCCTCCCTTGTCCTGCAAGGTGACCTTGGTCAACTGTCAGCCATCATGGGGTAAAGGGCCTGGCAGTAGGAGTCAATCTCCTGCTTTCCATGCCTTATGGCACGCAGTTTGGAGTTCAGTGGAGCCTTTGACTCCAGCTGCACCCTGAAAACTGGGAGCCTCCATTTGCCACTGTAGGGATGAGCCGTGGGCTCCAGGTAGCTGCAGCGAGAACTGCCTGGTGGCTCCTCCCCACTACCACCGCTGGGCAGTTCTTGCTGCAACTGCCCACAGCATGTACCGCGCTATGCCGGGCTGCCCTGTGTCTTTGCTGCCATCACCACTGCCTCTGGGCTGTCCAGCAGGGCAGCAGTGGCAGGGTAGCCCAGTGAGGCATGGGCTCCAGGTGGCTGCACTGAGAACCGCCCAGCAGTAGTGACGAGGAGTGCCTGCTTTCCCCACCACGCTGAGCATCAGCTTCTGTCCTGCGCTGCTGCTGCTGAGCCTGGGCGGGTGAGCCCAGAGCAGGCGTAGGGTCAGGGCTGTGCAGCACAGGTCCCTGCTGATACTGTGGGACTGGCGCCAGAAGCAGCACCAGCCAGAAGGAGCCGCCACCACCTGGGCTGCCTAGGAAGGCAGTCCCATCATGGAGCCTGCAGCAGAACAGGCACAGGGCAGGGTGGGCCAGGTCAGGGCTGTGCTACGTTTCCATTGATCCACTCCAGCAGGGGTGAATCCAGAGTGGGTATGGGGTTGGGGCTAGGACTGCACGCTGTTGGCAGTGGCGAGGAGGTGCTGCAAGGCATGAGGGCTCACATGAACACACAAATCAGAACAAAAATATTTTTAAAATAAAATTAAAATATGTTATTGTTAATGTTTCAGTTTTAATATATAATTTGTTTTTTTCCAGTTCCAAGATGGCAAACCCCCTTCCCAAAAGGAGTAGTTCTGGGGGCAAGGGGAGAGACTTGTAGCGGTAAAGGTCAGGGGTTAGGGGGCAGGACTTCCAATCCCAAGATGGCAACCAGGGAGCAGGGCACCTGTCAAGGGGCAGAGCTACTCTTGCGGCCCTCGACAGCTCACCAAAACTCCTTAAGCGGCCCTCGACCCAAAATAATTGCCTGCCCCTTACTTTAGATGTGAATAACTGATAAATCCTGTCTAAAGTGTAATGTGTGCCAAGGGCCAAAGTCTAGTCATAACATCTGATGAAGTAGAATGTTTGCAAACACTCATGCCTCTGACCCAGTTAGTCTCCAAGGTGTCACCCTGCCTTTTTCTTCTGCCTTATAAAATACCCTGTTTATTCAATTTGAAGATGAGGTTTTTCTCTAAAAATAAAGCCTCATCTTAGAATTGAGTACCTTCAGGCAGCCTGGGCCTTGTGCTGTTCTCTGGCTCTGAGTGGTTTACCTCACTACTCTCTGGGTCCCTACTGAACTAGGGAGAGGCAGGGGAATCAGCCCAGAGCCAGAGAGCAGCCTGAGACCCAGTACTGATTCCCTTACTGCTTGCTGTATGGCTGTGTACTAGGTACTACTGTTCCCTAGTTCTGGGCTGATTTCCCCCACCACTCCCTGGCCCAGCAAGGAGCCAAGGAGCAGTGAGGGAATTGGCCCAGAGCCAGAGAGCAACCCAAGATCCAGCCCATAGCTGGAGTGGTGAGGAATCAGGACTGGGTCTCACTGCTCTGTGGCTACAGGCTGATTACCCTGCTGCTCCCTAGCTCTGCTCTGGATCCTGCACTGCTCCTTTGCTTCCTG